TAAGCCCCGTGAAGCCGTGGTTTACAGTGAATTTATAACAGCTAAGGGGCATTGTTAGGCACGACGCGAAGCGGAGCCCCTTAGCTGTTATAAATTTACTGTAAACCACGGCTTTACGGGGGTTATTGCTTTTATAAAACGGTTATTCCATATATGTAGTAAGGTTTCACAAAATAAAACAGAGCAAATAATGTGTAATGATATTAATAAAAACAGTATTCTTCCACCAAACAATGTAGTTCCTCAGAAACAGTTGTGGTTGCAACAAAGTGGTTGACAAGCAACAGACAAAAATAAACAATGGTGTATGTTTGTAGAGTAATTTACAACAGCTTCGAACGTGGCTCAGCCAATCAGAATCAAGGACCGGAACTCTCCGTTTTATATCCCGATTTGCTGTTCAACAAACATTTCTGATTATTACCAATGTTAACAACAGTTGTGCAGTTTCAGATTTCATGATACATTTTACTTTTCAGGATCCTTTGATGAATAGAAACTTCAAAAGAACAGAATTTATTTGAAATATAATTATTTTGTAACAATATAAATGTCTTCACTGTGACTTTTGATCAATTTAATGCATCCTCGCTGAATAAAAGTATTAATTTCTTTTCAAAAAAAGAAAATCTGGCATCATTCTTCTAAACAGTAGTGTATGATAGATATATAAGCTTTGTGTCTATGCTTTATAAATAGGGCTGGACAATAATTCAATATCAATATGTATCGCGATATAATTCTTTTCAATAACGGTGATATGATTTTTAAACACATTTCCGATATTTCGATATACATTACCAGTTTCCCATACATTGATTTATTTGTGCCATTTGACTTCGTTGAATAAACATGAGCACTGCACGTTTCAAAATCATAACACGGCGCGGGTGTTTTATATAAATGTATCTCTGAAGGGAATTGAATGTCTTCAGAAAAGTTTCGATGGCATTTTCATTTGATCTGATAAAGTAGCGTTCATGAGCGGAGCTGCTTTGATTACAGCCGTTACTGGAGAAACCGCTAGTTTTATCACTCTAAAAGCGCCTCCTGCTGGCAGAAAATGAGTTTGCGTATTAAATAAGCCCGTCTCCAGCAACGTTTCCAGTTTTTGTTGTTGTTCAATTTTTATTTGTTTGCTGCAGCGACGCGGAGCACTTTTCATATCCTTTTTTCTGGCTGAAGCACATTTGTTTCAATCTATAAGAATAATCAGCCTACACTACCAGTCAAAAGTTTTTGAACAGTAAGA